CTCACTCTATCCTGAATCATATGAGTAAGTTTTTCCATTCCGAGTACGAAGAGGTAGGGGGAGATAGGGTCTCCCTGTCTAATCCCTCTTGAGGTTTTAAACCCCTCTAATTTTTCCCCATGCCACAGAATATTGGTTTCAGCTGTGTTAATACAGCTAAGAATTCTTCTTTTTGTCTCTTCAGGGCATCCTATTTCTGTTAAGATTTTTCCAATAAACCTCCAACTTATCTTATCATAGGCTTTCTCTAGATCCACTTTTATCGCCATAAAACCTTTCTTCCCTTTCTTTCTCCTCATCGAATGAACTAACTCGTTGACAATAATAATGTTATCGTGGATATTCCTTCCTGGCACAAAGCTGACTTGATAGGGGGATATCACAGCGGGCAGAATCTGCTTAAGTCTTCTCACAATGATCTTAGAGACACATTTGTAGATCACATTGCACAGGGAAATGGGTCTTAGCTGAGTCACTTTCTCCGGGTTCTCCACCTTCGGGATTAGAGTTATCAAGGTTGAGTTGATGTCTTTCAGTTCTTCAGGCTTTTCCCACATCCTTCTTAAGGTTTTACAGACTCCTTCTCCCACAATATCCCAGTTTTTTTGGAAAAAGATTGCAGGATACCCATCTGGTCCAGGTGCTTTCGTCCCTCCAATTGACATCATGGCTTCTTTTATTTCCTCACTTCTCACAGCGGCATTTATAGTTTCCCAGTCCTCTTTTCTGATTTCTGGCCACCCATGTCTGGTTTCTATCCAGCCCCTTTCTTCATTCTCTTCTTGAAAAAGATCTTGGAAGTAAGTGTTGACCAGATTTCCGGTTTCTTCTTTGCCTTCAATTCTCTCATTTCTTTCATTCTTGAGACTGCTAACTCTATTCCTTCTTCTTCTCACATTAGTTTTTGTATGGTAGAACTTTGTATTTCTATCACCATCAGTTAACCAATTTGTTCTAGCTTTTTGAAACCAAAGTATCTCCTCTTGTTTTAGCACTTCCTCCAATTCCAGCTGTAAACTTCTTTCCAATCCTTCTAGGTACCTACTGTTTCTTTCAGCCAGGTATCTTTGAATTCCATCTATTCTTCTTATTAAGTCTTTTTTCCTTCTGCTAACATGTCCAAACACGGAAAAGTTCCACTCTTTCAAACTGCCTTCTAAGTTTACTAGTTCCACCTGTGCTTCCCTATCACCATTCCAGTTCTCCTTTAAAAACTTTTTAAACTCATAGTGCCTCAACCACATCGCTTCAAATCTGAAGGGTCTTTGATTTCTATTATTAGGGGGGCTGTGCAGGTGAATAAATAAAGGGTGATGATCAGAATTAATCCGCGGTCCTATCCTCACGATTGCTTCAGAAAACTCATTTCGCCAGGCAGCATTCCCCAGAGCTCTGTCCAGTTTCTTGTAAACTCTACTTGCTGTGTGGATCAGAGGCCCTCTCCAAGTGTATCTTGGGCCTTCCGAACCCAGATCTATCAACTGACATCTATTTATGTTATTCAGGAACCGCCTACATTTTCTTTCAATCGGCACACTTCCACCTCTCTGTTCACTTGGGTTTTTGATGTCATTGAAATCTCCCGCTACAAGCCAAGGATTATGGTTCCCGTGGGAAATTCTTTCTAAATCATTCCACAGAGTCTTCCTCTCCATTTCCCTGGGGCTAGCATACACCGCAGTGAAAAGCCAAGGTTGCTTTGTCATACCAGTAATACGCCCATGAAGGTATTGTTTATTTCCTTCTATCATGTTAAACTTTATGTCATCACCATTCCACAGTATCCAAATTCCTCCTGACATTCCTTGTGCGTCAATAATGCAGCTATTGCTAAACCCCAAACGTTTAATAACATTTCGGGCTTTTTCACCATTGCAACGTGTTTCCACAAGAACAACCATACTCGGTCTCATTCTTTTAACTAAGTCTTTTAGCGTACTACCAAACTTCTTACTGGCAGCACCTCTAACATTCCAGACAACTATCATTAAAACTACAAGAGAAACGGACCTAATTACTGGTACTTACATCTCTTTGCATCCTTGTCTCTGCATTTCGGCCTCTTCCTTTGTAGGAATATACTCCTGCGTCGGTTTGTTCCCTTCTTCTTGACCCACTATCCTACTTAATTCTCCTGGGTCCAGTGGGTTTCCATCTTCTGTCTCCATTGGATCAATTTGATTATGTTGTTGATCTGTTTGTATTTGAATGGCTTTTGGGCTTGGTTCAGCTTGTCTTATGTTTCGGCCCATACTTGACTTCTTCTGATCCACTTGGCCCATTTCTGTATCTTCTCCCAAAGTACCCCTGGTGGCTTCTTTGTAACTCTCGGCCCCAGACTCTTTCTTTTGTTGGCTCCCTTCCCCATCGCTGTCTTTACCCATTATATCCCTTCCTTTTGTACTTTTTGAACTCTCCTTTAATTTTATCTCCACGTCACCCTTCAGTGTCTCCTCTTTTCTAGATTTTCCTCCCTTCCTCTCTGTCATCTCTTTCACATTTTTTCCTCTGCCTGTCACTTCCATCCTTCTTATCTCTTTCTCCTCTACACTCCTCTTCTGGTCACTGTTTTTCTCCTTAGACTTTAGGTGTTCCTTCTCCCTCGCCTCCCTTCCTAGTAACTCATTGGGATCGCCTCCTTCTCTCCTAGTCTCCTCAATCTCTAGAACAGCATACCTCGAGCTGCTACCTACCGCCGTTTCTTTCCTACCTTCTCTTCCTGCCCCATCTGACACCTTTCTGTCTTTAGGTAGGTTCTTCCTTCCCCTTTTCGGCATCTGTGCAACCATCCATTCTCCAAATTGGTTCGTCGGAGGGTTCGCCGGAGAAACTTCACTTTGGGCTTCTTTATCTCCTTCATAACCCTTTCCACCCTGGTTTTCCTCCTGGTTTTTACCAGCTGCTGTATTCTCTTTCTGATTCAATCTCGAAGGACACCGTTCTGTAGCATGGCCGAACTTCCCACACTGGAAACAAATCATATGCAAACCCTCATATTCAATCTTTAGCCAGTTTCCATCTACTACGTATGAGGGTAGCAGGGGTACACTGAGGTCGATTTCCACGCACATCCTTGCAAACATTGTTCTTGCTCGGGTAAGCGTCATTTCGTCGACCTTGATTGCTCTCCCAATTTTATTTCCCAGGCTGTAGAAAAATTTCTTATCGTAATAGTCCCCTGGTAGACCAGGTAGTCGGACCCAAACAGCCAGGTTTTGTATCTTCTCCCTCCATGGGTTAAAATTCCGCTTCCAGGTCTGAACCGTGAGATAGTGGTTCTGAATTAGCCAAGGACCTCCTTCTAATGCAAAAAAATAGTCATCTAAGGCCTGGAATGTCGCAGTCATGAATCCGTTTCCTATGTCATTAATCTCCACCTTTCCTGTCTTTCCCCACATTACCTGGATTTTCCTTCTCATTTGCATAAATCCGAGAGACCCACCTAGAAGTTTGATGATAAGGGTGTTCTCCCATTTCTTCTCCAATCTCCTCCTTTCGTCTTCAGAGAAGTTTATGCATGGCCCTTTTACTGTATCAGTAATCGTGACTCCTTTCATCAGTTCTTCCTGGTTGAAATACAACAGACTTCCATCCCAAACTTCCTCTTCTTCCCTCTGTCCCTCATGTTTCCTCCCATTTTCCTTCTGCGGTTTCAGTGCTTCTCTATATGAGAGTGTCTCTTCCCTCCGACTTCCCATTTCCACATCCTCTTCCATCATCCATGTCTCCTCTCTCACTGCCAAAGATATGTCCCCTGTAAAATTTCCTTTGACTCTTTGCACTTTTCCCCTCTCATCTTTCTTCTCTTTCTCTTCTTCCATTATTTGTCTTAAGTTTGGACAGGCTGTTGAAACCGTAGTTCCCTCGCTATCCTTCGTACTCAGAATGTTGCTCGTTAAGTCTTGGTATCCGACCGGTGTCCCGTGAGGTCGATCCGGTGGATGATCTTGGGTCCCACAATCTTGTAACATTTCACACACTAATCGGAGCTTCTCTCTCTATCTCTAACTTTTCGTTTCTTGATCCATAGTATGCTTTTAATGAGCTAACTATATCATCTTTTTTTAACTTTTGTTTAGGATGAGCTTCTTTGATTTTGTCTAACTCACTTGTCTAACTCTATTTAAATATAAAGTAAAACTTATGACATAGTCATTATAGAAAAAGTATTAACTTATTTATTAAAATTTTATAATATATATATATACAAATTAATACGTATCTGTTGGTTCAGTCATTAAAATTTTTGTTTTAATATGAGAAATATATTTTGTTTATTTTAATATATAACTGGTTTAAATAAATACAATTTTAAAATTTGATTTAGGATATATATTTTTATTTATTTTAATATCATTAGAGATTGAGGTATGAGTTGAGAGCGAGTGAAAGATTGAAAGTGAAATTTAAAGAGGAAGAATTATTATTTGTAGGCTTAAACGAGCCAACCCATGACCCTACAGGGTTGACTTTTTTATTTTTCAGCTCTATAGAACTAGTTTTTTTAAATCTAAATTCTTTTTAAAAACCTCAAATTATAAGTCCCATCGGCCCATCCTCAACTTAAATAGGCCGACCTGACAGGTTTGATCCGTTTTCTCCTAACACGCTTGGTCTGTTTTCTTGGCTTTGTCAACGACGTAGTATTTATTATCATGCCAGCATATGGTTAGTGATGACGCATTCCAGAAAAGAGGGACATCATTCATCGTATTTACGGAGAGGTACGGAATTGACTATACCTGCTTTTATGTTTCTCTCTCTCAACTGCCACAACCACCAATCTGCTCTGCCTTTTCGTTTTTCTTCCCAAAAAAGAAAAAAAGGTCGTGATCGATAATTCTCTTTTCAAAATGTATATGATAATTGCTTGTTCGGAGGCGCAACTTTTTTCGATAATTAAGAAAAGATTAATCAACCTGAAGTGAGAAAACATGAAGCTCGATTCACAATTATGAGTCTGCTGTGCACAAACAATATATATATATATATATATATATATATTCACAAAGGGGATCGAAGAGAGCTATAGAGATAACACTGGGGCAAAATGAGTCTCGCTTTATTTCACCACATCGACTTAATTTACAGTATACGTACAAATCGAAGTGTATATAGTGAAGATGAACCGCTCCCAAAATGAATACACAGCTTTTTGGGTGTAATCTTACTCACGTTTCTCTGCAATGGTGAACCAAGGATGCCCTGTTCAAAACCATCCCAAAAACACCTCATTAATTACAAAAATCATGCATCCCAACTAGTAGTTAATATTATTTCCATCATCATCATCATCACAATATCCCATATAAGAATCTTAATATCATGACATGAGGGAGAAAAACAAGCGAATCATATTAAAACATACTCAGAACTTCCTCAGCCGATATCCTTCTGCAGTTGTCTTTGCAGAGCATTCTTCTGAGCAGATCCTTGGCCTCTCGCGACACCGACTCAAAATACTGTCTAGGGAATCTCAAGTTACCTCTAAGAACAGCCTCAAAAATCTCCACCTCGGTTTCGCCGTCGAACGGCGGATTCCCTGATAACATCATGTACAGTATCACACCGCTGCTCCACACGTCCACTTTCTCGCTGTACTCTCTGCCGGCCACCACCTCCGGCGCCACGTAGTACGGCGTACCAACCACCCCGCTCATCAGCTCCCCCTTCTTGAAAAACTCAGCCGACCCGAAGTCGGCCAGCTTGAGCCGGCCCTGCTGGCCCGCGAACATTATATTCTCGGGCTTGATATCGCGGTGAGCCACGCCGACGCGGTGGCAGTGGGACACGGCTTGCATGAGCTGACGCATTATCCGACAGGCCTCTGATTCGGGTATGACAATAGTGCCTTGTGCAAAGCGTCGGAGCATTCGGTGGAGATCGGCGCCGTCGCAGAGTTCGAAGAGCATGTGGAGGTGGGTGTCGTCCTCGTAGACCTTGTGGAGGATGACGATGTTAGGGTGAGGGTGGAGGAGCTGGACGATCTTGGCCTCGTTGGAGAGGCATTGGGCGTCCAGAAAGTCGCCGGCCCCGACCACAAGTTTGTCGATGGATTTCACGGCGAACAAATCGTCGGCGTTGCTCCGGGAAGCGCACTTATAGACAGTGCCGAATCGTCCCCGTTCCAGCTCCATTAATAGGACAAAATCTCGCTGCAGGTCTTTGCTCATCTTTGTTTCTTCTTCTTAGGCTTAGCTAGCGCGCCATAACCAGATGGCTTTCTCGGTGATCCGAGTTCATTAACGAGGAACTCTCGCTAGCCTCATTTATATGAGTTTGTTTGTTTTTATAAAATAATATAAATATTCAAATATAAGGATTTCAAATCTAATATGATACTCCTTCCGTTCCTTATTATAAGAGACAAATAACCGAATTACGTTGATAAAAAAAGTAGTTAAAATTAGTTAAGAACAATCAATGTATAAAAAATATAATTTTTTCCCAAAAATGCCCTTATTAATAAGGAGAGAGAGCATGAGAGAGAACAATTAAATTATTAAAAGAAAGAGAAGTAGGAGGGAGAGAGAGTGTGAGTTGGAGACAATAAATATGGGTAAAATAGAAAATCAACACAAAAAAGTAAAGATAACTTTTAAGTGTCTCTTATATATAGAAACATGCCATAAGTATCAAATGTCTCTTATAATAAGAAACGGAGGGAGTATTATATAATCCCGTATTGGAAAAACATATATTATCTGATTTCACTTTTTGTCATGAACGGTCCCTTGATTAGACAAGATCATTAGATATGGAGAATCGTCGCGTATTTCTTTCTATATATGCGATTTTTGCCTGCAAAAAACAATTCGTTTATTTTTTTTATATTTCTATTTGTTTCGCTTCCTTGGTTTCAATCCTGATAAATTTTAATTATTAAAATTCAGTTTGCTTATTTTTTAAAGAGTATACAAAATACGACTTCATTGTAAACTAGTGAAGAACTGGAATACAATAAGTATAGAAAAGGAAAAGGGTGAACGGATAAGATGGTTTCGTTTTCAGTTGAATGACTCTTTCGAAGAGTCTCATGAATGACTCTTGGGGGAAGCAAAGAGCAGAAATCATAAAGACAATAATGTTACAATATGCATTAGGTCATTAGCCAGGATTAATTTATTATTATAGATTTGGAATCAGTTCATTTTTTTATTTTTTACATAAATGATCTATCTTTAGGATTGAGATGTGATTAGGTGAAATAACTATAAAATACCAAAAAAGAAGCTACATAAACATTTTTAATTATATTAAACAATATATATTGTTCTTTGAGCTTACGATTTCTTAAAAAATTTTAAATTATATAGAATTTTCTTTTACTATTCAAATGCAAACATATTTTTAAATGCGAATTAAGTTATTTTAATTTTATTGAAACGGCATAAATATTTTTTATTTTTGAAAATAAACAAAATATCTTCAGAAATAAAAGAATGTAATCTTAGCAACGCTTAATCGAGATATGCGTAATTTACTCTTTTACTATAGAAAAATGTATATGCATTTTAAAAACAAGGAAAATTTATTTTGTTTATTATTTTATTTCACAAACGTGATTTTTTAAAATTTTTTGTAAGTCTCAGGAAAAAATTATAGAGCATACTATTCAATATTCACAAAATATTGGTAAAATAGTCTATTTTAAATAAGGTAAGCAATGGGGAAAGAATGACGTGTTGAAAGGGGTCCGATTTGCCTAGCACGAATATTTTATATGAGCATTCATAAAACCAGCCAATTGCTGAGTGTAAAAAATGTCTGTTTCTCAGAGAAAACAAATCCGTGTGTGATATTTGTTACGCCTTCTTTCTCATTGCTGCTGAGGCTTAATCAATGAATCGGCTATAGGAGTTTTTATAATTTAATTATATGATATAAATAACTTTTCAGGATTTATTTGGTGTAAAACATTATTTTATGAAGCTGCTATCATCGTATTATTCTTGACAAATAACAACACTTTTTTGAGGAAACCTTCTGTTTCGTCTCACTGTCAAATGACGTATTGTCGCCTTGACTCTGATTGAGGTGGTTGTCGACTTCTCGTCTGATTGTTTTGAAAAGAATCAAAATGTAAAAAAATTAAAAAAGGGGGTTTAAATATACTGCAACATATGAGCCAAATTATTCATCAACTGATCCACTCATATTTTGATTCAGAATATTATACTACCTCCACTTCTGATTATAAAATTTTATTTATAAATTACAAACAAAATCTTATAATTAGAACCCAAAATCTATAAATAAGATCTTATAATTAAGATTAAAACTAATATTTAACACCTAGCATATGCTCGGTTTTAAACCACTAAAACCAAAATTTCCAACGTAAAAACCAAGCGCACTACTAGAGATTGTCCAAATAATGACCTGCTCGGCAGCAGGATACAAGGATCTTTATTGTTTTGTTTTGTCCCACGCTCAAGAAAGCTCGTAAAAGTCTGATTAACTTCTAATACAACGGTGGCATTAGCATACCTGTACTTAATACATTTCTATCTTGAAGTTATAGATTTCATACGTCTCGCGCTTTTTGATCCCAAAATCTAACCTCAAACCTATAAATATATATATGTATATATGTTTACAGTTTACGTCAACCTCAGAATATACACAAGGAAAATAAGCTAACTCGGTCTTATACAACAGAACAGACTATAAGGCAGCACTTGAATACAGCAAAATATGTTACTCTCCCAGTACGCGATGCAGCCTCTCCAGTGAAATTCTGTGAAAAGCATTAACTTCCGATGGTTCCTGCATTGTAATTACGCATTATTAGGATCTTACACCAAAAGCCAAAAGAAACTCCATTCTGCAACCGCAAATAAAAATCAATTTTTTCAACAGTAATAGATTAATAATTTAAATCCGATGGTTCCACAAAGAATGGCAGCGTGGAGAAAGGAAAACTAAACTAACAATAACACTTTGATCCTAAACTGCTGGGAACTGAAAAATCAGTCTTCCCAACACCCTCAGACAATTTGACCAGAAATTAACATGCAACCAGTTTTGTATTTTCAGGGACTAAACATTTTTAAGAGACTTAAAACTAAATAGGTCTAACAAGCAAATCATATATACAAACTCTCTCAGAGATTAACTTTCCAAGAACTATTTTCTAGGTATTTCTCATGAAGTTAACTTCCTAGAGAGGATGATTAATTGGACCAAGCAAACGATAAGTGTCCTAGAGATGCTTTCTGAGATTTCTAACAAGGTGAAAAGACTATCTTTCATCTAAGTCCCTACTTTTTTTTCAGAATATGAGTTGTGAGGCAGCATACCGTCTTTACTTGAACTCTGCTCCATGTCAATCTGTTCTTGCCATGGCCGCTTCAGTTCAGAAGATGATGAACACTGTTGGGGAACAGAAAATGTACATGTACTAGCACAAGTTGCACTCTTCTGCTTCTTACTAGAAGAAGATTCACTCGTAGAGCACATACCTTGATCATTGCTGGATACCTCTGCGTCATTTTTATGGTTCTGTAAACTACTCTGGTTTTGTACCCCTTCTTCCATACCTTTTGATCTTTTCTTATCAAGAGAAACAACATTCTTGGGATTCTGAAGTGTTGGCACTTTCTGATCATTTGATGAAATAGAAGCGCATGGAGTCTTCTTCAAGACAACTTTTGGAATGGCCGAATTTTGAACAACATTGGTGTTATCAACAACTACTTCATTCGTCTCATCTGAGCTCCCTGCCTCAGTTTCCCACATCTTGAATATTGCTTCTGTCAGCCGTTGCCTGGCCAAATCGACCTCAATTATTGGTTTTGGATAATTTAGACCCAACTCTACACCTGCTGCTCTGAGCACAGTAAGTGGTGCATCCCAAGGATGATGGATCCATTCAGTTGGCATTCTTGCTAACTCAGGCAGCCAGTGCCTTACATATTCGCCCTCCGGATCAAATTTAACCCCCTGAATCTGTTCCCAAAAAAAGAGCCAAAAGGGAAATAGTAAGAGTGTTTACTTCAATATTTTGGAAGCTTTTTGGCCCTGAAAGACCAGAATTTACTCCTTAGATATGTAGCCAGCAAGGGGCCAAACAAAATTTACAATCTTTTAAGCATAAAAGCCAATAGTAGTCTTAAGAATCTAGAGGGACAGAATCTTAGCAACGTTTTATTCCCCATACATTACAACCACTACAATTTCTCAAAATCCATAATGATATCCCCTCTACTACATGAATAAGAGCTAATGCGCAAATATGGTTTAACGGCTACATTTATTAGTGCTTTGAAGCTGATATGCAGACCCTTCAGCTTGTGTTAAACTCGTCAATAATCAAACACGTAGCGAAAGTAAGAAAACATGGCCAAAAAAAATGCCAAAGCATATGATTTGATGAAGCTATTCACATTTTGCCAACTACCTAAGCTTAAAAATGAGAAGCAATTATGAACATTGGATAATCTTCTCTTGAATGTCATGAGGCCATCTGCATAATATTTTAATACAAGAAACCGTAACACACCTCTGGATTGTCCATGCGCTCGAGCTCATGACCATCTGGTAAACTCCCGGAGATATACTGCCAGCCCAAGATGTCACATTCAAGGTCTGCATCCAAAAGCGTGTCCCAGAAATATTTCATTCCCCATCTCCAGGGAAGAAGCAAGAATTTCACGGCAAAACTAGAAACTATCACCCGTATTCTATTGTGTATCCATCCTGTTGCCCAGAGTTCTCTCATCCCTGCATCAACTAAAGGGTAGCCAGTCCTGCCCTGCCTCCAAGCCTTAAAATTGGCCAGATCAGAATTCCAAGGAAAAAATCTTAAGTTCCCAAGCAATGGTCTCTCATGAGTGAACGGGAAATTGAAGCAAAGATAACGTGAGTACTCTCTAAGTCCAAGGGCCCTGAGGAAAAGTGTGACACTCTGTTCACCTGTGATGTTTCCTTCATTTGCCCATAATATCTGTTTCATGCGTGCCAATTGAAATACTTTCCTTGCACTCAATTCTCCAAAATGAAGATATGGAGACAGGAGTGAAGTGGAGTCTCCACCAACCTTTAGTCTATTCTTTAAGTAGTGAAGTAGGTGGTGTTCAATAATTCAGTTAAAGCCTTATCAGCATTGCTCCAACCTGGGGACCATGCTCTCCCTAATAACGCATTGCTGGACTTTTCTAATTCGTCTTCA